AGTAGTAGTAGTAGTAGTAGTAGTAGTAGTAGTAGTAGTAGTAGTAGATACCAAATCCAAATATATACTGCTACACCTCAATAACACGTAAACATTTTGAATTCACAACAGATTCCAAATCTAAGAACATCTTCCTGGTCTCCCGCTTTCATCTGCGTTTTGTTGCAAAGAACAGATTGTTGCTTTTGTTCCCACAGCCTCGATGGACCGTACCGACCCCTCCGGTGGCGACCGTTGGAACTCGGTGGCGCACCGAGGTGGTGATGCGGATGAAGGACGGTCGGGCGAAAGGGAGGCGAACTGGTGGTACCGGGCATTTCATTGGAGGTGGTGGCCCTGGGAGAAGGACAGGTGAGTAGTTTGGGGAGACCCCTTCGACGTTTCCGGGGGATGGTGATCTTTTTTGGGAACCTTTCTGAGAAGATCCGATGTGGTCAGGTTTTGGACGTGCATTTCTCCAGGTCGACTCACCTTCACTGCGATGAATTCTTCTCCAAAGTGGTCCCATGCCACCACTGCAGAAAGCCCCAAACAGTCCCATGTGAGGGTCAAAATCAGCTTCGGAGCCTGGTAGGTTGAGCTGGTCCCAAGTTGCCACCCGAACTGCCAAAAGGTGGCTCCTCTGGTCCTCTGGCCCCACGATCTACCGGTTCCAGGAGGCAAGCCGCGTTGGCAGTCATTGGCCGACGAGGTCTGGCAGCAGCTGGTGGATGGCGAGGTGCGGGACGGTTCGCTGGGATGGTTTTGGGATGTGTCGGTGGAGGAGTGCTCATGATATGTCGTGATGGAAGGGGTTTAGTCTTCAAAATCACCTCAAGAAGATTTGAAGAACTCATGATGATCCATCAATGATTCATTCATTTGGGGGCCAAACATCCTGGAGAGAGACACCCCCAGAGCTCAGCTCGTGTCAGTGCTCAGCTCGAACGTTTGGCCATCGGGTTCCCGCACGAGGCGGACGAGGTCACTCGGGGTCGCTCGATTGCTGCAGCGCTGCAGCCTTTCAAGGAGGCGGGACGGTCTACGACCGCACCAGGCGGTCGTCTCGGGTGGGTATACCGGGACCCAGACCATCCATGGGACTGGCATATTTGCCTACATTGACACCTGAAACAGCCTCAATGTAGGCAAATATGCCATGGATGGTCTGGTATACCCATCAGTTTCTTTTTTTGGGGAGGTGAACGGGAGTGCCGTGAACGGGAGGGGCATTCGCGGGTGAAATAGCGTGTTTGAGCTGATTCCGAGATGGGGATTCCTGCTTGGTACAAGCCCTGGGGCTGTTTGGGGGAGTGCCAAAGTTGGAGTGCCAAAGTTGACTTCTTTTGACCCTTTTGGATAGTTGGGTGTTCCTTCTTTTGGGTTGGATGGCATACTGGCATACCTGTGTCCAATCAGTCGTAGATCCCTCAGGCATGCCAAGTTCCTTTCCGTGCGCACACAAATAAACGTCAAGAAAAGAAATACTGTGAACATTAAGACAAGCACGTGTCGCAAAAACGTTTTTCCTCCCTCAGCTTCATATTAGTTCATCAGGTGAGCGACTATAAGTGCAATACCCCCCGAAAAAGTAAGACAAACTCACACAATTCCCTCCCTTTCAGGTTTAACATTTCCCAAACACACACACAATTCCCCAAACCAAATATACGTAGTTTTGTTACTAGTAGCGATGCACTTGTTACTACTAGCGTGGCACTTGTTCCTAGTAGCTTCGTTCCAAAGAGGTCCCTTCCTGCTAGAAATCTCAGCACAACCGGCCCAGTGGCTGGCACGGGGCGCCAAGCGGCAACGGGTGACGCCCCGCGCCGCGCGGGACGCGGCGCCGGCAGCTGCACCAGTGGCTCGGTTTTGATGGTTGGATGGGGGTGAGTGGATGGGCTGGAGGCAGAGGTGGTCTTGGTACAGGAGAGGTGCAAGTTTTCTGTCAACGGTGGTGAGGGTGGGGTTGTCAGATTAGGTGCTCACCGCTATCCCTTCAGCTACCTCAGCCAAGGGGCTGCTAGATCTTCAAAGCAAGGTCAAGACCCAGACTGATCTCCTCCAAGAGGGGATCAGGGGTCACGCCCTGGCAGCATATTAAACTGTGGGTGATTTCAGGAAAAAAAACAAAGACCAGCATCATCCACCATCTACTGGCTCGTGTGTTTTGCTCGGAAAGATCTCTCTCTCCCTCGCCCACTCTCTCTCTCTCTCTCTTTGTCTCTGTCTCTCTGTCTCTCTGTCTCTCTCTTGCTTCGGATGAGAAGCCATCTCAGGGGAGTGAGGGTGAGCATGGTGAGCATCGGGTGTGTGTTCACCGAACATGTCGTGCTTTCGAGGCCTCCGGCCAATGTTCTGTGCCAAGCAGCAAGAGTTGGGGCACCTGAGAGGAAACGTCGTGCCAGAAAGTGAAGAAACCGATCTGCTCTGTGTTTTTTGGAGCTGGAATATTGAGGAATCATGCATCATGAGGAATGCCTGCTCCGGGAGGGGGGACCACGTTCCCTGATGGTTGGAGTCTCCAAGCTTCTGGGAGTGCCTCTCAAAACGTCCTCCTCCTTGGCCCTGCTCCACCACCACCATCGACTGCCCCGACTTGGTTTGGCTCGAGCAAGTCGCCATGAGCACGGTGTACTTGGAACATCGCGATGCCCATCATCTGCCCGGTGCCGGCTCGCCAGAGGAGGTGAAAGTGGCACTGAAGAAGGCAGCTGAGGCGATCTTGCGATGTGATGCTTTGCTCTTCACGGCCGGTGCAGGGATGCTTGGACAACAAACATCCCGGAGTTGGGCATCCACATTGAAGAACCTAGGTTACCCATGTTCAGATTGAAGCATAGAATCAGTTTGCAGGGTCTCCTACCCGGTTCTAGAGGAAAGTAGCCTTCCAAAGACTTCCAAAGTATCATTTTCCAGCCAGAGTGTATCCGTGCGAATCCGGGTTCACTGTGTACCTTATTCATGCTTTGAGTCTGGATCCCATCTATTTAATTTCCATTCATATCTTATAGTCCCTTCTAACTTCAACTCTCTTCTTTCCATCCATACAGCTCATGCCATCCGTTTTACTTGTCCAACCACTTGTCAGACTCATCCCGTCGAAGTCTCCGAAGTCTCCGAACTCGTCGCCGTTCGTCGCCCAGGATGGGCGTGGACAGCGGGCTGCCCGACTTCCGGGGCTCCACGGGACTCTTCAAGGACCGCGAGGTGGCCATGAGCTACGAGGAGAGCGAAAGAACGCCTCGCCGACGAAACGAGATGCGACGCCGTTTTCGCGGCCCAACACGCAAGCTTCGTGGAAGCACGCAGTTGGTCCGAAGCACGCGGCGAAAACGCGTTGGTTGGTTTTATTTTTTTAAACATCTTTTTGTTAAGGAGTTCAACGGGATAAACATGGGACACTTTCCTCACCCTTTTCATTCTGTAGTCACTGAGTGCAGATGTTGTTGGAGGGAGAGAGAGAAGGGGGGGGTAGACTATGAATTGACCCACCTTCGGATTCTTCTGCAGCTCCGACGAGGAGATGAGTGACGACAAGTGGTTCACGGAGGACCCCTTGTTCGCCTGGGGCATCAACTACACGCAGCTGTCCATGTATCGTCGCAGTCCGCCCCACGCGGGATATGAAGTGCTACTGAAGTGGGCCAAGACCTTGGGCAAACCCTACTTCGTCTCCTGGAGTGTGCCCAGCACAAGGTGTTTTGCAGATGAGGTGTTTTTTCCATTTCATATGCCACAAGGTTCCGCCACCTGCGCCCTGGTTTGTAGTCCTTGACCATCCGAACAGGAAGACATTCCCGATTTCGGGGTCGTTGCACCGTCCACCTCGACGTTCCGAAGACGTCCGTTCAGAGATGTTTTCTTGGATGGCAAGGCCACCTTCACGTTCCGAAGACTGCTTAACCAGAGCTTCTCTTCTCTGGCACTCTTCAACTACCTCTCTTTGTTGCCTCTTTCGTTGCTCGGAAGGGTCTTTGGACCCCCCTTCTCCACCCCTTTGGCGGCCCAACCGGCGGAGGTTTGGACGTCCAACATCGACGGGATGTTCGAACGAGCGGGATTCCCGGGCGACCGGGTGGTGGCGTGCCACGGCGACCTACACCACCTTCAATGTACCAAGGACAGAAGAACCTGCAAAGGCGAGAATGGGTTCAGGGTGCTGGTTTGAGGGGGTAGTGGCGAATGCTGACTGTTGAAATCAAACTTGAGATGTATATAGAGGAACCATCCTGGTCAGGGTCATCCAGTCAACATCGGCATTTTGTCAATCTTCAAAGCAGCTTTCTTCTAACCTTGGGGGCAGTGGCCGTCTTGTGCAAACCTGAAGGCTTGGAAGAGGATGGTGCGGATGAAGTGCCTTGGTGCTGTAAACTCTCTCTCTCTCTCTCGCTTGCTCGCTCCCTTCAGTGATGCCGGGCCGGTTGAGGGGGGAATTTCAACGAATCGGCCTAGCGCCACCGAGTGGTGCAAAGCAACGCTTCTTTTGACTCTTGACTCTGGATGCGAACCCTCAGACCACCAACGCTGAACTCTTTTGACAGACCCCGAGCAGGTTGAGAAGAACGACATCCCTTTATGACCTGGCACAAACTTGGGTTTTCCACGTTCAAGTGGATCTTTCCGAGTGTCACAGGTGTTGATTTGATGTCGATCTGATTCCAATGGAGCACGACGGACACGGCGATTCTGATGATTTTGCCGAAGGAGGTGGTCACTTTGGAAACCCAAAGAACATCGGATGGTCAAAAAGAATCAGAGTGCCAAACATGTCAAGAGGTCAAAAGCAGTCTTTCCTTGTGAAGGGTGTGTTCAAGGTATACTACATACAGGGGAACCCAGGTTGTACCGAACATGAACAGACTACCAGACTATCAGGGAGTCAGCTTTCCAAGGGTTCAGTGTTCCAGCTTTTGACAAACAACCATCTTGCGTCCATGGCGAGTCCTCCCATTGGTCAGGGACACAAAAGAAGGACTGACACATCTATATATATATATAGATGAAGAAAGACCTAAAAAGACTGATCGTTTTTTTGTCCTTCCACACCCGAACATCTTCTCGTCCCCCCCGTTTCTCCGAGACGGTGACGCCGAGGTCTGGTCCTCGGAGGGGATCCCAGACGACTTGGACGCGGAGGTGGATCCCAAGGCCTTGCGGTTTCAGCCGCTTGGGGGCTTTTTGGAAGAAGGTGTTCTATTTCTCTTTGTATTTTTAAGGTGTTCGTTCATTTTTTGGAAGAACACGACGCACATCGTATTTTGGGAACTTGGGTCGTTCCCAGACTGTTTGGGAGCCTTGGAGGTTCATGAGTAGCAGGACCCTCCACTTATTTAATGGGTCTCCAGCCAGAACACCCATTGGACGTTCCACAGGCTTGTCCGGCTTGGTATTTGCCAGTGTTGAGGCCTGACAGCCTGGAGCGCGAGTGTTTCCTCTGCCCACGATGTCGACGATTAGCGAGGCCCAACGTGTGGTTCTGCCATGACAAGAACTACAATGTCTCCAGAGCCAGCTGGGAATTGATTGAGATGAAGTGTTTTGCTCTATTGCCCAAAGTATATTACGTATAATGTAGTATATTACTGTATACAGTATATATATACATACATATATGACACATACATATATATAGAAACCTCAATATATTACTGTAATTATATAGATAGAAACCATGCTATGGCAAGCCCCAGAATCAGAACTCAAACAGGATTCGCTTCTGAGATCACGGTGGTGGACTTTTCGGCCCAGCTGAGGCCACAATCAAGTGTGGCAATGCTTACAATCAATGGCTCTCAGAGTTGCAGGAGCGCAAGGCCAGAACTCTGGGAGTTGGCTCCGGCTTAATGGTTGGGGGCCCACACTACCCCGGGAACAAACGAGGCTTTAACACGATAGTCACGACCAAACAACTCATTTGCTTCTTCTCAGGCACACAAGAAAGGTTGTAGTTCTTCCGGACTTGTTTCCAATGATTGGCGATGGAAAGTAATGTTCTTGCGCGCGGTCGCTGGCTGCTTCACTGCTGCAACCGCAACACCACGAGGCTGCAACCCATGGCAGAACCCCTACCCACCAGCCCACCCCGTGGACGAATGACTTGGCAGTTGGTGCTTGACGGCGAATTGCGTCTCACGAGTCTCACCCGGGGGGCGACGCACTGCCGCTGAGATCCTACTGTGGTCGGACGAGGTCGCGCATTCAAAGCAGGCTTTATCTTGATGCAACAAATGCTCTCAGCACTGATGGGGTTGGCTGAGTGCCCAGGATGGTTTTTCGTTGCAATTGGAGACGGAGCCATTCTGCAGTCTGGTGAGTCCTCAGACTCTTAGACACCCCTCGAATTTGGAGAAGGTACTCCCCTACCCACAAGGGTTCCATTTTTCAGGGACATATTAACACCAATAAGACTTGATAAGACCCATATCTGGGAGATCAGAGCCACCAAGTGGACCTTAGATTCCAGTGGTCCACTTCATGGGTTGACGGAGGGATGCGTGTGGAGGGATGTTGATCTCCGATGAACCACTCGGACACCCAGCCCTGCGCCAGGCTGCATTGGTGGTGGTCGAATGTGGAGGAGGCTTAGCCATCCCCAGCGTGCGGGTTCAAAGCGAAGACGCCGTTGATGGGAGCGGACCTGGCTCGCTGCTGGTACGGCTGAACCCAGTGCATTGCAAGGTGCCGGAGAAGGGAGTGGGACTTCCGTTAGGGAGTATGGAAGGGCTACAGCGGATTGATAAAGAGTTGGAAGCTTTGAAGAAGGATGGAACTGGTGCCAGACACAAGAAGACTTCAGTGAAGAAATGATTTCGTCCGACCAGTCGATTGATGTCTGGCAAAGCGACTGGCCGACTGACTTGTGGCCGAGTGGCCGAGTGGCGAGGGGCGAGGGACGCTGACTTGCGGCGCCGTGGGTCAAAAGCAAACTCTCTCAGTTCAGCCGGAAGAACGCCTTTTTCAATCGTTCCAGAAGAGCATGTGATGATTTCAAGCATGCTGTGTCTGGGATGCTGTTTTTAGGGCCGAACTCTGGACACATCTGGAGTGTCCCGGAACCTTGGAACTCTGAAGACCCAATCTGGGAAGCATTTTGGAGGTGTCTTATGCCTGTGTCAAGCTCAATGTCTCAGAGTGTCTTGGTTCAGAGTGTCCCAAGTCCAAATGCCCTTTGCTACTAGCTTCTTGTTCCTAGTAGTCATGCCGCTACTGGTAGCGATGCCCTGGTTACTAGCCAGCCCTTTTTGGGGAGTTCAACCTCCGGGAACCGGCAGTTGGACCGCCCAACGCGCAGCCCAAAGAGGCTGGGCTCCCACGTGCTCCTCGGTGCGTCCGTGGGTCGATGCGTCGGGTGGGCCAGGCATTGAAACACGGGATCCAGCAATCCCGTCGCGGTTCTGTAGGAGGCAGTTAGTATATGTTAGTATTGTCTTTGCATGTCAAGGCATGACAGGGAGCATGAACAGCTACTCCCACGATTTTCCTTTCATTGTCCATGACAGTTTCACCACTCACTTCACGCGCATTATATCCGATTGATCTTCACCCAGGTGGTCACCCACCAGTGCGCGAACCTCAGAGCTTTAGACCGAGAAGTTTGTTTTTCGTTCATCTCCCGAAACAGAGCGCTGGTTGGAACTTCCAGTCCGGTTTCTCTCTGCTCCAGTCCGGTTTCTGAATGCGCATCTACATCAGTCTTGATACCTTGCTGTAGAAATCATCCGCAGAATCACACCAGTGATTGAGATCCAGATGAAGAAGCGTCCACCACCAAACATGGAGGTTCTCACTGTTTTTATATACCAAGTGAACTGCATTTTTGGGAGCTCACTACCTAGGCCCTCGGCAGCCCCGCGGAGCCAAAGCAAAGGCGCTGTTCACGCGGCCAATGCTCGGGTGTCGGGGCCCTGGAGCGTTGGAGGCCTCACAACAGACGTCTAGAATCTAAGAAGGTCCTTTTTTTTGGAAGAAAGCTGGTGCAGTTCCAGTGGTTGGGTCGGAGTTTGTTGGCTCATGGTGAAACATGCTGTCCTGAGGAAGCAAGCAGACTTGGCAAAGGCACACCAATTCAGCCTATTCAGGAAATCCATCAGAGTGAAGGGATACAACAAGGCATTCAAATGCCACACAGCAAAGACCAAGGTCCGGTACAAGTATTTATTTTTTTTGATGTTAATCTTGAGGACATATTTTAAAATGATTCCTTCCACAAGAGAGAGAGAGAGAGAGAGAGCGAGCGAGAGCTGCAGCATTTGATTGCTCAATATGTTCTTGACAGCCACAGTGGTTGATTGGTCAACACTTATATCATTGTGATTGAATCAGACATGTTTGCATATCTTCAGGGTTTTGGTGTGATTGGTGTCATCCTCACTTGAATCAGACTCCCGGAAATCGGCTTCGCGGACGCTGGTAATCTCAGCATTCCCGAAGAAGAGCTGTTACACAAGCTGCAGGACAGGTGGATTCTCTGCACCTTTCAACTTAGTATAGTTGGATCATCTCAAGTAGGCACAGACAGGAATTGACAGCAAACACGCCATCTTCCAAAAGAAGCCAACAGAATCGCCCACAGACTTTCAGATGAAGCACATGAGCGCCAAGCTCGGACTCGCCGTGGCAAAGTGCCCGGTGCACGGACCTTGTTGGCTCCCCTCCTCCGTGGCCCCTGTGAGACGCGTTTGTGCTGTGGGGTGGTGCTGCTGTTGGTGAGGTGCACTCCCGATGGGATGGGCAAGTGGCAAACCATGTAAGTCGAAAGCTTCCACAAACCCATGCAATGAAGGGAATCTTGGCACTTCTAGTTGCACTGACTATAGAGTATAGGCTATTTGGAGCCGGTCTATGTTACCCTTTCGGAGCCGCGGTGGCGCCAGGCGGCCCCTTCACTGCGCCCGGTCGTGTCGCGCGCGGCGCCGCGAGCTTGCGGCCCTCCTGGCGGGGTCGGGGTCTGCACGGTGTCGGGCAGCGGAGTTCGGAGAGCTGGAGCCTTGGCTGAAGTCTTCGACTCGGATGGCATCTTTCACCTGAAAAGACCCGACTTGATGACCTGGTGCAGTTTTTTAGTAAAATTTAGTGATCCTGGAATCCAGGGTAATAGATCAAACATCCAATCAGAACATTTGCTTCGCTTCTTTCTTGTGCACAGAATTTGCATAAGCGATCGTTGAATCCCCCACTTGATAACAAGGAAACACCGACAAACACATGAAAGAAAGAAGTCACCTGTAAACAAACCTACAGAAGGGTGTTCAAGCTGCTCTTACGAAGCCTCCATCACCTACGTGTTTGCTTTCTTTTACAGTAATCGCCCTCACGTACGCTTCTCCTCGTTCCAGGTGAAGGTCACTGATCCCGAGACCTACTCCGCTTTGCTCTACCGCCCAGTGGGCTCAACAGAGCCGCGTCCCTTGTTGTTGGTGCTCCCGGGAGCGGGCAAAAACGACCAGGCGCCCATCGCCAGCGGTGTTTTTCCGGGTTCGTGTTCGGTGCGAACGATGAACGATGTAGAAGGCTGTGAGAACTGCTTCCGTATGGGAGAACCTGCTTTCGTGTCCATATGGTGTAGAACATGCACTGATCTGACGAACCCACGTGCCAGTTTGGAGACTCCTCCCGGGCCGCAGCCAATTTTTGGGCATTTTCGCAGAGCCAAAGAGGTGCAAGACCCAAAAGAAGAGCCACCAGGTATCGGATACCTTTCTTGCACCATCCACTGGCATTTCTGAACTTCTGACGATCTGTCCGTAAAGCCTCTCGTTTTCCTGGCGACTCGATCACTGAAGACTCTCCAGGATGCTTGGGACCTCGCGAACGTGCAGGGGGAGCACGGCGGCTTGGCGCCGAGCCTTTTGGCGCAGCGCACGGCACCTGAGGAGCTGGCGCAGAACTTCTGCGTGGTGGTGCCGAGACTCAAGGGGCACTGTCCCACAAAAGGATGTGAACACGAAATACATACTGTACCGGATATACAGTACAAAAGCATGCAATTACCAAAAAACACAAGATATATCCGCTGGCCCCAAGTGATGTGTGAATGCAGACGGCCGCCATGGCCAGTGCGGCACTTTGGATCTCCTTTTTTGACTACTAGTACCAAGAAGCTACTAGTAACCAAGGGCATCGCTACTATTAACAAGAAGCTACTAGTAGCTCCTGGCATTACTACTAGGCACAAGATGCTAGTAGGTTGGAGGCCATCGCTACCAGTTCTCTTCCCTTGAATAGTGGACCTCTTCGCCGTTCCTTTTCCCGTTCTTCATTCAACGTGGGGCGGCGACCGAAACGCCAAAATGCCGAAAAACACGGGAGAGGCACCCTATGCGGCTGGAAAGCGGAGCTTCTATGAAGAGCCCCGGAAGAAGATCTTGGCCTTCTTGGCCCCTTGGAAGAAGATCTTGGTCCTCCTCGGAAGAAGATCCGGGGCCTTCCGGCTGCGCCAGCGGGACAGATGTTGAAACAGCCGTTCCCCTTTTCAGACTCTTGGCTCAGCCTTCCCAAAGCGTTTCTTGTGTTTTGACTGTTTGATCTTTTTGGGGCGGACGGCGACGTCTGAGTAGTAGAGTTGGCCCCTTCCGACTTCACTCGTCTCAGCCTCCATCACCCGCGGACGGACGTGGGGGACGGACGTGCGAGGACTGGCTGTGCCGCCAGGGCGACGGCTCGGGTGGCTCGGGCGCGGCCTCTTCGGTGCAGATCGATCGAGGGCGGCTCTTCTTGTTTGGCTTCAGCGATGGCGCCACAGAGGTGATGGAACTTGCCAGTACCAGGTGGGGCGCAGTCGGGGCGGTCGAAGTCGGGACTTACTTCGGTGAGGGAGGGGTTGGCCAGGCACAGGAAGGGGTCGTGGGATGCAATCGACTGGCCCCCAACACTTAGGAGATCGGAACCTCATTGTATCTCATTGCACAACAGACAGAGGATCTATGAACATCTTAAAAAAGATAACAGAGAAGATAATCCTGTAAATATGTTTTTGACCACTCACACTCACATCGATCGGGGCTGTTTCATCCATCCACTTAGTGACGGCTGATCGCCGCTCACCACCCGTTGCCTCACCGGTTGCTGCGGTCGCCCCGTTGTTGGCTCTAGGCGCTTTGCGGGTGGCGTGGTGTGCGCGTATGGCTTCACGGGGGATCTGCCCGCCCTGGCGTGTGAGAGGCGTGGATGAAAAAGTGGTGAACAGGTGGTGGGCTGGGTGATTATTTGAAAGAATCGTCGTCGAGTATCCTCCAGTTGCCTTCCATTATCATCATCTCTTTGGGCTCTCCATTATCATAAAACTAGATTAGTGTAATAGATGATACAGTTAAATGGTTAGCACAATCTTGTCTCATTTCTCGACCGCCCCTCTGACCTGCCGTGCCATGAACGGTGCCGTCCTGACGACTGCCCGGCGCGTTGGTCGGGCTTGGGCGCGGCACCTTGGTCCGAGCGGCCAAACGCGGAAGGTTGAAGAACTTCCCTGTTTGGGTCTTCCACTGCGCGGACGACGTGATTTTCCCGGTCTCCTGCAGCGACAAGCTGGTGAAGCGGCTGCGGGAGGTGAACTCTCGACGCGCGGAGGTGAAGCGGTGGCGGAGGTGGGGTGGAGGGTTGGATCCAAAAAGCATCAAAAACGCCTTGGAGGTTGATCACCTCTGTGGGAGGTTGATGGATTTAACACCGCAGTATGTTCCAAAACCCAAAAGTATTGTTTACAAGGAACTACAAGGATATGGTCTTGTTTCGGATGACTCGAGTCATATGAGGACACTGGGCGGTGCAGGAGGTCGCATCGGATCAAGCTTCTGCTTGGCCGTACGACAGAAACCTGTTTGCTTCTGAGAATGGAACCCTTGCCGCAGACGGGGGTTTTCTTTGCAGAATACCTCCCTATCCGCTTTGTTGGGTCCGGGGCTTGTCTCTTCTTTTCTTCAGGCCCCCCCAATCTATTGGACGGTTGGGATTTCCTCGGAAATCCCGCTTCCGCACGGTGCTCAACCCCAAGGAGATGTGGTGCGCTACACGCGCTATGACCGCGATCAAGAGGCCAGGGGTTGTGGTGGCAGTGCGAATTGAGTGTTTGGGAGCGAGCGAGTTCGCGAACTCGTCGCACGAGCCGCTCGGCGTTCGTTCGTCCTTAAATCGGCGGAGCCGATTTTACAAATCCAAACAGCGTCCGACACTTCGTGGACGGACCAGTTCGTGACGGATCAGAGCACACGTTTTGTTCCACTGTTTGGCATCCTTTTGCTCACAGGACGCTACGAGTACCGGGGCTCCTGGCCCTACGAGTACCGGAGCGATCGGACGCTACTACTCGTACCGGCACTCGTCCTTCCTTCCTTCCTTCCTTCCTTCCTTCCTTCCTTCCTTCCTTTTGAGCGCTGACACAGGGCTTCACCGGCTCGGTGCGGGGGCACAGCACGGGCATCACCGCATCGAAGAGTGCGGAGGTCTATCGCTGGCTGCTGTCCTTGCCACCCTTGGAGGCCGAAAGTCGTGGTTTCACCCCTCCCAAGAAACTGCCAAATCCAGTCCAACCGCTTCAATCCATGAGATCTTCAAACATGGACCGATGGACCGCCAACCAGTGGCTGTGAAGAAGCCTCGTGTTCGCTTTCGCTGAGGTCTGAGAGGTTCGCTGCGATCCCGCCGCGATCCTGGGATTGAGATGTGAGGCACGGACCGCACGAGGTTTGCGCCAGGCCCCGCTGGACACGTGGTTCGTTGTTTTCGTCTCCGCGAGACAAAGGGCTCTGCGGGATGGGACAAAGGGGTCTGCGCCAGTAAAGACTTGGAGTTGAACAAGAAGCGGTGCGTTCTGAGCAGCATTTGTTTGAGAAGCGGTCACTGCCGGTGCATGATCTATATCCACATTCATGTTCTGTGCTATGCCCCAGTGGTTCATATGGGCTTACAGCTTACACTTATTGTGGTGTGAAGAAAGTCAGATCTCACAAGGGCTCTTCCCAGACACACCACAGTACTTGCAAGAAGATCACTTTTTCTCAACAAGCACCCCCTTGTTCAAAAGGCCATCTTCGGTTGAAGCTGCTTCAGTGGCGATCTCGTGTTCTTTCATTTGGACCACTGCCGAGAACGGAGAACCTTCGCGGTCCCGAGTCGGAGACGTCTGAGGCCCTTGCACCAGCTGAGCCAAAATGCCGTGAACGCGCGAGACGCCGGAGTTCGCAAGGATGGTTTCGTCGTCGAAGGCGTTCGTAACGACGGGTGACGAAGCCGTTCCGTCGAACGGAGTCAAGGTTTGCATCGAAGAAATCCACACTGTTGATGGAAGAAGGAAGTGCTGCCAATGATGCCAAGAAAACCCGTGATTTTCACACTTCCAGTTGGGTGTGTGTGTTTGAACAATACATAAAAATAGAAACAACAAACCCATTTGTTTGCGACGCCTTTGCCTTCCCCTACCATCAGTAGTGGTTGGTGGGGGTTTCCCTCCTTCCAACAGACTTCCAGGATCGTTTTTCTTCGGGAAAAATAGGATGTGACGATCCCCTCTTCTCGGTGTAGCCTGGCCCGGTTTCACAGGAGGGCGGAGCGTCCTGTGGCCCGGGCGGACGCGTGGCCATCCATGCGGTGGGATGGGGGGGTGAGGGTGGTGCTGGAACACTGGTGGGGAACAGTGTCGACCCTTGCGTTTTCGACCCGACCGTTCTTTCTCGCTCCGACCCGAAGCGGGTTTTCTCGCGCTGGTCCGAAGCGATCCTTTCGTCGGAGCGGGCGGGATCCGGAGGTCTCCCGTGGTGAAAACATGTGAAAACACACCCCAAATTGGGGTAAAGAATCTATCTGAGCCGTGGAAAAGGACATCTTTTGGAAAAGAGGAGGATTACTCTAAGTATCTATTGTCTTGGAAAGCCATGAATTTGAAAGGACTAAGGACGCGGGATTTGATATAGCCAACAGGGATTTCAGATTCAGACGAGCTTTTCATGAAATCCACAGATTAGCCCAAGGTTTTCATATGTTCTGGTTTGAGCTAGTGGTATCACCCACCTCCATTTGGGCCGGTGCCCACCTCTCTGAACTCTTCCACGAAGCATTTGGCCATGGCCCCACGGTTTTACAACCATGTCGGAGTGGAAGATTCACTCTACTCAGCTGATTCAAACAGACCTGCCTGCGTCTTGATTGAACGAAAGCTGTTGGGAAACCTGGCAGCCATGCCCCGACCTTTTCAAAACCGACAGATATCGTACTCTTTTCAAAACCGACAAACGGCAAGGAGCACCAGAATGCTATCATGGTGGTTCCTATGCGGAATCATTGCTGATCCTGATTTTCAAGTGTTCAACTTTAAGCGCCGTCCCCTTCTTTCCGTCTGTCTTCGCTCTGAGAGCTAAAGGCGCTTTGCATGTCTCTCTGTGCACATGTACACCAAGTGATCACCAGCGATGTGACTGGGTCAAAACTTCAGCCCGAAGAGCAAAAGAAGATAGCATGTTGCAATGGCGTTGACATTGGGGTTTGCACTTTAGGCCTTTAGGCATGACTTAGGTATGACTTGGTGTTTCCCCTATAGGTTGACATCCCGAAAATCAAGGGATCTGTTCATGTTCGGTGTTCAAGCAAGGTGGATGGTTAACCAACCAAGCCTCCTGGTGATGAAGAGGTTTTGCAATCTAGAATGGGAGGTTTCATTCATCAACCATCTTCATTACAGGGGTGGTCATCCGTCAAGGCCCCATGTCATCTGTCGAGACCCTGTCATCCGTCAAGACTTCAGGTCTTGGGGTTTCGGTCTTCTTCGTTGCTTCCGCTGAAAAATAACAGGAGGCCTTGCAGAAGCAACGGACCAACCTACGGAAGGCACGCGCTCGGGCCACCGGGTCAGTTTCCGCTGCAGGGTTGAAGAGAGTGCCCCCCTGTCAAGGGCCGCGGTTCGGGCTTGTTCAGAAAAAGAACGGAAGGAAGGAAGGAAGGAAGGAAGTGCCTGCAGTCTCCGACCCCAAGCTAGCCCAAACAATACAACAACATGGGTCTCTTGACCCCTTGAGGTCTCCAAAGGAATTGCTTAGGGGTCCAAGGTTCGCTCGGCGAACGGTCGAGGGTCGAGGGTCATATAGCCTGGCTTTTCGGCTTGGCAGGCCAGCCGGCCTCCCGGCAAACACGTGGGGAAGGCGCCGGCGTCTTCTGGTTTGGGATGGACTAAGAGATGTGGAAACTGCAAGAAGCAGCTCCATGTTACATAAGCATGTCCTTTACCTTTCTCTCAAACATCATCATGTCAGTATTAAATACAGGAAATCTTTCGTGTGTCTTTGCTCATTTGTTCATCGACAGTGCAGTGAGGTTGAAAGAAGATTGGAAGTCGTGTCGGGTTGTGCCACGGTTGTGCTGTTGGGTTTGACACTGATGAACACCGCTCAGGAGAACATGGGTCCCAAGAACACCGCGACCGCAGGCGATGCAGCAGACGGAGAAGTTGACCTTCTTTTGTGTAATAACAAGGTATCCTCAAATAGTTCTGCATTTAGTATGCACTATTTCAATACATTGGGTCTGTCCCAGTACCTGTAACCGTCGGTAAACAATTATCACTACTTTAGAGAAAGGTCTTTACCAACCAGCATCATGGCCCTGGTATAAAGGGAAAACTACCCAACCACTTGCCAAGGGAATTCATGGACTTGTCAAGGTCTTTACTAACCATCATAATCCACTGTTACTGGTAATAGGATACTACCCAATCACTTGTCAAGGCATGGACTCTCTGAGTATTTGTGCCGAGCCGATCATGTTTCTTCGGACGCCGTTGCTGCGGACGCCGCGCTTGTCATTGCTCGGCCAGGCTTTGCTGCGGACAACCTGGTGCTCAAGCGTCTGAAGGAGAACGGTGAGCGTGGCGTTGTGAAATGAAGATACCCGTTTGACCAAAAAAGGGGACGAAACACATCGAACAAACTACCAATAGTATATAACATAAGAATAAGGTTCCAACATCTGGTTTGTTTGGAGCCGTTCCATCTTCTATCTACTTGAGGATGTCAATGTGGTGTGAGATACCAGCTCTTTGTTGAATGTTTTTTTAGTTCTTTTCCGGTGAGAGCTTGACAGTTCGGCACATTTTGGGGACAAGTCTCTGCTTGGTCTTAGAACTCCAACCCTGCACCACGCTGCACCACGCTGCTTCGCTTGGGACCGGAGTCCATCGCCCCTTGAACATCTTCCTTTGGCCGCAGGGGTGCTCACGACGTGCTCACGACGTGCTCACGACGTTCGGTTCGGCGGTTCGTCCGGTTCCCCGCCCCCGCCGTTCGGAGAACCTTGGGATCAGGTGGATGAGGATTTCATGCGCCTCAGCTCACGGGGGTGCGTCCAAGAGGTCCCGTCCAGTCCAGTGTGTCCAGTCCGTGGTTTTTCCCAAAGCGACACACCCACTGGCTGAGGAATACCCACTAGGCCCTAGGCCCCACAGATCCTGGGATTTGTATCAGTCTGAAGAGCCCACGGATCTGCAAATACCATGGGCTCTTTGCAAATCCCGTTGGTCATTTCGCTTCGTTTTTGCAGGACCGAAGAGCGATGCTGGATGACAAGGTGCCCGAAGTTCGCAGGTTTGTGAATGGGGGAGATATCGGGTACCCCCGTTTTGGGGGTCGAGGATAGGGCGAAATCTGAACATTCGTGGGTTTAAGTCAGTTTAAGTGTTCGTTTCCTCAAACCCAAGGGGTTCTCAGTTCTCTCCTTTGGAGGCAAATGCTCTCGGTCAGTTCACTGCCCCGTGTCGACCAGACAGAGCGCCGACATTTTCTGCCGGTGAATGGGAATGTTGGGAGGGTCGAGACTCTCGGACTACGCTCCCGAAAACCAACATTGGCCCTGTGGTTTTGGCACCCCGAAAGCCAGTTTTCCTCTACAACCCAGTGATTGTCAGGGTCCATGTCAGTTTTCAGCTTTCAAAAAGCATTCGCTGACTCCGTGCAGGAAGATGAACCTCCAATCATCTTCGAATCGTTTCGCTCATTCGTGGGTGGTGCCAACGTTGGTTTCCTGCGTCGGCGTTGAGAATGCTTGAGATAAAGCTTGCTTTTGATGGAAAAGAAAGGCGCTATAAAAGACATTTGGTTCAAATTCCTGAGGATCAGAAAACAGATTTGCCCTCATAAGATTCAATTCCCTCCAGGGGTGGTCTGTCTGGGACAAGACCGCCACAGGTTGCAGGTGATCATGGTGGGGGGGTCAAGACCATCACCAAAGTCTTGGTGAACATGTCCATTCTGTGTATGGTGGTGGGTCAAGCCCCCACAGGGGTGAATCCGAGGCTGACGACGAGACTGACACCGCTTGGGGTCGTTGATCGATTTTAGAATTTGTAGGAGGGTGCTGGTGCTTGGCTGGCGCCGCACAACGTGCACGCGCGAAGCTTTTTTTGGCTGGGCTGGTTGGGACCTCCAGGTTGATCGTTGTTTGAAAAGGGATACTTGAAAGGTCGGATCTAGAGGCCTTAAGGAGTAGATGGAGTGATCTTGGCCCGGAATTCATGCCATTTTTAGGCGCCCTAATTCGGATAAGTGTGGCTGGTAGTGCTTTTGACTCCTGGAACCTTTCTAGCCTTCAAGTGACCTAGATTGTATCA